TTTTTTTACCATAGACACAGCTCACTAAGGACTACAAGATGCGCAAAGTCCCGACTCAAATTCTCTCTGGCACCTGGGAATGTTCCCTTGTGAGCTGAAACAACTTCGTTCGATTTTAGGAACTTGGCTGAACTATCTCTTGAGCCTTCTTCTAGAATCGGCTATCGTTTTCTTACCAGTAATTTATCGTACTCTGAACGCTGATCACAGAAGAAGAGTAACTATCGCGTCATGAATATGAGTCTCATAAAAGAGATAAGAGTTAACATCCCACATGTGTCACGTAAGCTTACATGTTCATATTGCCATCACTCTCAATCCTTTACACTTCATAGATCAGACAACAGTATTGTAAACTATGCTTTACAAAATGTGAACATGAATCGATGTATCACATGCAAAGCAGACGAGTTTCTAATCAAGAGAAACCATTGAGTATTGTTGAAATATTTCGCTTGTAGAGATATTGACAACTCAGAAGAGCTAAGAAAAAATCTTCAATGGTATCAAGTTTTTGAGAACAATTTACGATTTTGCATACGTGAAGTTAGCTAAACTTTTCTTTTAGACATGGCAAGCAGCTGCTTCACAAGTTTTTTTCTCCTTGGGTCTTAGTTTTGGTTCACTAATGGCCTATGCAGCATCGAATAAGTTTAAAAATAACTTTTTCCAGTGAGTTGATGTTCCTTGTTGTCATATACAGTGAAGTTCCTCCGAATTACTTTAGACAAATGTGCATCGTTGTTTCTTGTGATTGTCTGACGGGTGTGTTTGCCGGATTTGCCGTCTTTGCCACTATTGGATTTCTGGCAAAAGCACTTGGTGAAACAGTCGAGAAATACGCAGAATCGTCAGGTCCTGGTCTGGCATTCATTACCTATCCGGAGGCTATTTCGAACATGCCAGCTAGTCCATTCTTTGCAATTATCTTCTTTCTGATGTTACTTGCACTTGGTCTAGGCTCTCAGGTGAGTAAGCTTGTCACTCTCTTTATAGTATCCGAATTTATCGATTTCTTTAGTTTGCTTTGACTGATGTACCTATCACTTCGTTGGTGGAGTTATTTCCTCGGCTTAAAAGAAATCGTCCATATGCTGTTATTATTACTTGTGTTCTTTCATATCTCATTAGTCTCACGTTTACTTGTCGTGTAAATGAACTCATCACTCTTTGATAATTTCAATTTAATAATTTGTTTCGTGTTTAGGGTGGTATTTATTTCTTTGAACTCCTTCAAGAGTATTCAGCAAACACTTCTATGCTTGTTGTCGGCTTTTTTGAAGTGATCGTTGTATCTTACCTATACGGTACGTTGTTTCGTTTCATATCTGCAACCACTTGATCGGCATCCATTTATAATAGGATTTAACCGGTTTATGAATGATGTATACATGATGCTACACAAACGAGCTGCTGAAAAATATCTATTTCTAACTTGGTATATTTCAGCACCACTACTCCTTCTTGTGAGTATGAACGTACTGGCATGAATGACTATGAAACTGGCATGATTCACATTTCCTATTTGTTTTCTGTGTTAAGATTATAACTGTAACAAAACTGATCGCTGCAGCACCGATAACACTTGGTGCGGGTGGTGGATTCTCTGCTTATACGTTTCCAAGATGGAGCACTATATTGGGCTGGTTCATTTTCGTTTTTTGCGTTATCCCTATTCCTATTGTATATGTATTTAGCTACGTAAAGGAATTTCTATTGTTGTGTAAGATGCCGTCGGTAAGTTACCGCATCTTTTCATATTACGTAGACTACTCTTAATTCAATAGGAATCACCGTCAAAGATCACAAGTAACGAAGAAAAGCCTATTTACTTACAAGCTTTCACCGAAAATAACTTGCCGACTTCGGATTGGGGTCCTAAACGAAAAGATGATCAAACAGGTCTTTATCAACGAATGAAAGAGTCGTTTACCAATGGTGGATTGTCTTCATCTAATAATTCAATATTACCATCAACCGTTGTTGATCATTCAAATGATTAACCAATCTTATCGAACGATGAAACATATTAGGAGTACTAATTCCTATAATCTTGAATAATACATGCTTTCTATTTTTCTTCTCGACATATAACTATATCCTACTAATAGTAGAGGACTTATTGCTTTGCCAATGTTATGACATGTTCATAATGCAAATATAATTTTGAGCAATACATAGACGAAGTTGTACGACATTAATAGTTAAATTACCGAAAACTGTGGGAAAACTAAAGTCACAGCATAGTGATTGTTTAGTTTTGAGAATCGAAATGTCTGCTAATTGAACAAAACACTAATACTAAATTATGAAAAATAATTGACTAAATCAGTAATTGTAGACAAATAGAATTAAATTCTTTCCTCATCATGATGTGCTTTTTAAGGAATACTTTTGCTTACTAGCAGTCTTTAAAGAACAGTACAAGTAACTGGAAAATGACTACGATTTTAGCAGTTGTTTCTATCCAACTAATTGATCGCCTAGTGAACATACCTTATTTGATTCAGATGTCAGAATGGTATAGAACGCTCTGCAAATTGATTCAAGTTATTGAATTCGATTTCTCTAACACTAAATATTTGTGAAGTCTTCGTGTGCCCGATACCTCTACATGATTGGCCAACACAGGTTATAAATTTGTTTTCCAGTAACTGGTCACAAGAATGTGAATAAACAACAAACTAGTGCTAAGAGTAATCCGGCATCTTTTAATTTGATTTCCTTCAGTCAATCATCTGAGGCAACACAAATATATGATAAAATCATTGAAAGATGGAAAGGTATCACTGCCAGACAATTACTGCTTCGGCTACCGATTGATGAGTTACTAGAAAACTCGTTGATTTGACTTTTTTATTAGAGAAAAGCTATTGAGAAAAAAATCACGATTTCTTATGAATTTTTGTCAACGGTCTTCGGGATCGATAAATCTCATCCGTAATCGGTGTCTTGGGACTCTATATCTCTATCTTGGTCAAGCGTCCTACAGAAGCCTGCCGTTCACAGAAAAAAAAGTATAAAGTTTCGACAAATACATTATAGACTCGAATTTCTTAACCCTGAAAGCCTTCGGTCAAACTTTATAGGATACTGTGATTTTCCTTCAATAGGTTTTCCCTGATGACAGAATCAAATACACAAATTCTACGTTACCCGGCTATTCGATAACAGTCTCCCTTAAACTCATTAGTCTATAGTTAGAAAATAAAGTTGAATCAAGTCACCGTTTTTATCTAAACACATATGACGTGTCATGAGTTAAACAAACGAAGCTGAAGATGGCACTGCGTGTTTTTTTAATGCAGAGTTACATCAATAGAATATGCCTTCCTAGAAGAGAATGCAGGAAAAACAATTACATTCTGGTTATAGCCTTTCTTCTTTATCTTTGTATCTACTACTACATTATTAACATACGATGCAATAGTATGGCACAAAATGTTGATCAGTGTTTCACTTCGATAGAAAGACGCTGAAAGAAAGCATTTTTACTGAAAGATAGCGCTTTTTCTCCTTTTTCAAACAGTGTATGATTCATATTTAACACATGTTCATAAATGAAATGACACAATAAAGAAAGAGTAATACTCACGCAATCAATTTATGCTTTCAATATGGAATCGTTGACAGTATCTTGATGGACAGTGATCGATTCGATTTTTTATACTCTTTAAAACGAGCTTCTAACGCGTGATTACTTACACTTTTTTTGAAGTTCTTAGAACCATTTTCCAGATGACAGTTAATTACAATTAATTGTCATCTACAAGATGCTTTTTTTGACGAGTTCATACAAAAATTGTTAATACACTGTGCTAATGTTTCTATTGCTTTTTTGTCTCATTTCATTTATGAACATGTATTAAATATGAATCATACACTGTTCGAAAAAGGAGAAAATTTCCTATCAATTGGTACCAAAACTTTCTTTTCAGCATGTATTTATCAAAGAGATATAAAGATCGACATTTTGCGCCACGTTTCTACAAGAAAATGCAGAATTTTTTAAGGATGTCTCTTTTTTTATTATACGGTTTCATTTATAGACGTAGTATAGAACTAAATGATATACTACTCGAAAGAGGAGAAAAAGCGCTATCTTTGAGTGTGGGTGTGGGTGTGGAGTGTCCATGTTATCTTCAATCGTATCCACAGCTACATCCTTTTATTTTTCTTCGTATGTAAACTTGATATTTTAATTAAAGTTTTATCTCAATAATATTAAATCTTCATTTTGAAACCCACTACAAATTCGCTGTTGGTTCTAAGAAGCACATGTTAAGATCTTATCAGTGTTATTTGTTTTTACTTACTATGAACGGAAGCAATTTTTCATTGTCTGACCATACCTGTTGTGTTGAGTTACATCATGCTGTTCATTTCATAAAGTAGAGAACCATTGAATTTGTTTTCAACACTACAGGAAATTGCAAAGTTTCCGTTTACATCACCACGTACATGAACAACTATAGTATTTAGCAAGAAAGTAACATCTTTCTTACATTCCTCTTGCCAAACTAGACTCAGCACGGTTCCTTTAATTCTGACGAGATGATATTGGAAGAAAATGTTCCTGCTAGGAGGTTTTATAATCAAAACAAATTTTTTCGACATCTGAAAACAAACGTATAAAGGTACTGATTGTAATAATGAATGAAGAAGTGCTAAATAAACAGAAGATGCATCAGTTATGGCAGTCAAATGACATATTTAAGGATTATAAACTGAATCTGGAATACTTTCAACCAAAGTCAAAAGCCTTTAATGATCAATTAGATTGAAAATATTCAACACAAACTTGAATAGGTATTGGTAATTGTATTTGTAATTATTCTAATTCTTCCATTAATAAAACATTGATTTGTTTTGTTATTGTTATTAATTGTTGCTGTTGTTTATAAACTTCGAAACTTTGGTTAAATGTCTCAAATAATTGATCAATTTCATGTAATTTTTCATTGTAAGTATCTCGAAGTTTAGTTAATGATGAGTCCAACCATGAATGAAGCTGTTATCGAGTATATGGTCGATAATCACCTCATGCAAATGATAAACACTGAATAATATTAGGAAGTCTATCAAGGTCAAACAAACTTCTGTTCGAAGTAAAGAAATAAAAAAGACAGTATTTCGTGACAATTGATTATGAATAGAAGAGAATTATCGTCTGTTAGAGAATTTAAATATTGTGTATTTTGTCATTAGTATGATGAAACTAAAGAAGATATGTGAGTTCCACTTTCCAGCCTTAAAGGGGCTGCGCTAAGAAACTTTTTTGCTGACTTTTATCCTATGACAAGCTGCAAAAAAACGACATTTCAAATTGTCAAAATCGACGTTCTACAACAGTTCACCGTCAAAACTCACCGGTTAACGGGTGACTTTTCACGGTTAACTGCGGTAAACCGTCAGTTTTCTGCCGGTTTTTATCACATGAGTTTGTAAACTTGATTTGAGTATGTGAAGTCACAAAATAAATAATACATTGTGGTCTAATCGATGTAGTTTGCAATCTTTTACCATTGGTCACTACCCAACATTCAAGCAAAGTCGTATAATTCTTTGTCAATTATCTCAACTGAAAATATTAGTATTAAGAAACTGTATAGTGAGTAGTATTGATGAAACTATGATATTATTTCGTTATGTTAAAGCAAATACACATTTTATTTCTCTGACATTTAAAGATAGTCATTTAGAAATGAAAGATTCGAAATCATCTCTTTGATTAACATCTTTCTTTATTCATTCTAAATTAACAAGTGGTGTAAGTAAATCTGATCCTATACTTGACCAGTCTCGATGCGAAGAGTTTATTCAAACAAAATTATTTTTACTAGAAAAATTTTCAAAGTTTTCTATCGCGCTAAAACCGATAATAATCAAAATTCGATTGATATTGAATCAATGATTGTTCCATTTCGAACAATATTTTGGCTTAAATGTAAATTCTGGTTTGTCACATCGTCTATATCACTAAAACAGTGACAGTTAGAGTCTATTCGGTATCAATTTATGATTCTTGCATTACATATGAATCATGATTTAGAAAAAAAGCTTATCAGTGTGGCTCCTTTAAATGAAAAAAGTTTTTACCATATGGTGATCGATCATCAGCAAATGTCATCTTTTTTAATTTCTATATTTGAAAAAAACTTTGTTCTTCTTTTTCTTTACAGGCGCTCTATGTTTCGCTTTTGTACTTGTTGCTATTCACTCGTTATTTTGCATTTTCATAGTTTTGTTTTTTTGAATTTTTTTTGATTAATTAAAAACCATTGAATTAAATTGCAAATAAAGCTGTCATATATATCTATCATTGAATTCCGGTTGTTGAGGTCTGCAATAGTTTTCAGACCTTGAATCTTTTGCTGTTACGTGCAAATTGAAAGCTTCTACTAGATGAGATAGAAAACTTTTTGGAAGGCTAATAACGGGAAGTGCGAAAAGACTCAAATCTGAAATAATATGTTCTTTATATATCTATTTTTTTCATGAATTTTAACCTCGCGTACCTTATAAGTTCAAACTTAAATCGTAAATAATTTTCATAATCTATAGTATTTTGTAGAGCACATCGGGAGTCATTAGATGAAGGTCGCATGAATCTGATTAGTTTAACCTTTGTGCGAGAAATTATGAAAATATGAATTACATTAAAGTTAGAAGGATTTTCGATCGAGAATCTTCGGATCTGTCAGTAAAAATGAACGCTCTTTTTAGCTGTTTAGCTAAAATCGAAAAGAAATTTAGCACCGTTCAGTGTCCAGAAAAATGTTCGATTTTTCTGAGGAACACATCTGAATAATGTTTCTACTTTAATTAATATGTCATGTATCTGTTGCTAACAGATTTATAATGTATTTTCCCCGATTTAATTAGTGTTTTAACTTTCTATGCCCATTGATATGCTCTTGATAGAATACTACATGAAGATTATCAGTTCGCTTTTTTTTTACTAAGCATAAGTGAAAGTGACTTCGCATAAACAATCTGACTA